AATTAATAAACACATGCTTTTCGAGTTAATTGGTTCTGAAACTAACACAAATAATAAAGCATTTATACATCAAGCGTAAAATAATTAGAAATTCTTTCACCTTTTGCTCACGATAATTAACAAAATAATCGTCGAAGAGAAATGAGAAAGAAATATTATATAAACACTAAACATATTTTATATAGTTTTTAATAAAAATATTTTTATGTTTTAAATGTATTTTTGAACTTTTGCGACTTGAAGTCGCTAATACTTAAATTGTTAATTTTTATCATGCACAATTGAAATATTGATAGTTTTTTCTGCATATACTTCTATAGGATTACTATGCGTAAATTAAGAGATGTGTATATATATTTTATATGCTTGTGTATTGTGAGAAAAAGGGTCAACGATAATATAATACACGTGCGATCTATATGATTGAAGATAATGCGTCGAGAGCATAATTCCTGTATATGTATACGCACAAGTAACCCTGTATGTATTTGTAAGTCACAGTGATAAGAACTGGTAAGGGTCATTCCTTGACTTGCGTGAACTCAGTTTGCTTTCGCCGAGTTACGATCACACATCATGAAGTTCACAGGTATACACATATACATATATAAAATATTAAAAAATAAAAAGACGATTATATTGTTTTAAGTGAAATATTTGCAATTTTAATAATTATATATATTACTTTACTGATAATAAGAAAAGTTTACTTTCTCCCTTGTTTCTAATATATCATGTTTCCAATAATTGTGAAAACATAAAGGAATTGAAGAAGACTGGAAAATGATAAATTAGATAATATAAGGAAAGTCTTTCTTTTTTAGATTCCACTTTGATATCTGTGCTAGCACAAGGGATAGGAAGAACATTACTCATATTCTTTTTTTTAAGTACCGAGATTGTCGCGCAAAGTTTATTCAGATCTGGGAAAGAATATATATATTCTTACAACGCTACATCGAGCACTGGTGTATTAGTGCCTTCCAACGCAGCTTCTTCGTGGAATCTCCATGGAAAACTCATAATTCATGCGGAAGATGACTTTGTTACAATACAGGTATTTTTTAAATATGTAGCTGTAATTTTCTTCTCTTCGTTGTTTTATTTCCTTTTTTCCTATCATAAAAAACATGTACATGATTTTTTAAATTTTATTATATAATTATAATCTGATGTAATATCTCAACTTTTTATATTAGTTGCAATCATTGAAGACGAATATGCATAATGGAAATGTAAAGAAAGTGATAGAAAATATTGATATCTACGATGATGCTGTAGAACTTTTGAAACCTTTCCGTTTATCGTACAACAAAGGTCTTATCGAGAACTTCAGCACTGAAACTGAGCCTGCATGGACGACGAATATAAAACGAAGCATAGCTGGAATTTTACAACTTGATCTTTTTAACTTGGAAAAAGAAATCGCATTTCATTCTAGTGAAGTAAATGGAAAATATTTATAGATATAGGGAGTGAATATATATATATATATATATATATTATGTACAATGAATGGATAATATATTAATATACATTCTAAACAAATGTTATGGAAGACATTAATATACAGAACATTATAATTCACAGACAAACCATTATGGAAAATGTGATATTGATTACGTTGTAAGTCCGGAAGACGATAGTCGTTTGATAAGAAAATCGTTCGATCCGCGTATGTGTATTGGACATCCTAGTCGCTACTGGTCGAACATTCCTAAAGTACAATGCACTGATGATGATCAAGTACGTCGTCACTGATAACACTACATTTTTAAACTTTTTTTGTAGATTACAAATTCGTAACTGAAAATATTCCAACATGTCAGACTTTGGAAAAAAAAACTGGAAAAAGTAAAAAAAACGCATTTTTTAACTATTTTTGAAGCTGTTTAAAAAAATAAGACGTCATATAGAAATTCGGGTATTAACTCAAATGAAAGCTCGAATTTGAAGTTATAACTGTAAAATAGAGATAAATAAATATAACATGGCAAATTTTTGTTATAGTACAGATTTTTTGGAGGAGCTCGCACTAACTATAGCATATGTCATTCGCTATACTGTCTCTTTATTAATTATTTTGAAAACGCCAAAATTCTATGATTTTATGATTATAATTGATTATATTTAATTTATTGCCGTCAAATAATTAAGGCATTCATCATTACATATTATTGTTGGACCATTTTCAATTACAGATTCGTAATACACAGAAAAAAATCTATCAAAATCATTTGTCACATATAAAACAAAATCCTTTTTGTATAGTGTAATCTTCATATTTATTTAATACAGTTAATCGAATTATATGGATATTTATGAGAATATTTATATACTATGTTATATATTTCTTAGAATCCCATCTTAAAAAGTAGCGAGAGAGTGTATCAATTAAAAACCGATGGATTCGTTCACAATATTATCTCCGTAAATGCATCTGGAGGTATCTACGTGCAACCTTTTCAAAGCATGGGAGAGGCGCATTATCATTTCGTCCGGTATATTTTACAGACATAAATATACTCGTATTATTTTATTACTATTCTAAATGAATTAGATGTAAAAATTGCTTTATCCTACACAGGCAAACTATTGAGTTAACTTCAGTGAAGGATATAGCGAATAAGATAATTACAAATAATTTACGAACTACAGTCCTTCAACACGAGTTACCAGAAATAGATCTTACACAGGGCAGAGGTACACCGGATAAAAATTTCGTTTTTAAATCTGTGAGTTTTATTTTCATCTTCTCTTTATCTGTTTTGTTATTCCACTTAAATCCTCATCAAATTGTTGTAGATAAGTCATTTATTAGATCGTTTAAGCCACAGGCTTGAAAATCCTGGTTTAGATACCGAAATTCATAATTTGCACAACACAACGATATCTGTGCTTTTCTATTATCTCGGTATGTTAGATCGGGTTGACTTAGGAAAGGCCTACACTCGCATTTCAGGAACTAGTTATAAAGAAGAAACGATACGGTATTTATATATATTTTTTTTTAATTATCTCTTGTTACATTACCATCCCTATTTTTAGGATAAATTATATTTCTGTGCTTTTTATCATAACAGAAACATGTTTCTCGAGGCGTTGCCGCAAGTTGGAAGTAGAGAGTCTGCGCTTTTTATATTAGATCTTATTCAAGGCAACGAAGTATCCGACATATCTGCGATTCAATTACTTATGCGGCTACCATTTCACATAAAAAAACCCGACGTTCAACTGCTGGTCAGTCTCCAACCGCTTCTTGCGCTGCCGAGCAAAATCTGCGCGGAGGTGCAAAATACCGCAATTCTTACTTATGGAACATTAATATACAAAACTTGTCTAATGCATTGTCCGTATGAGATGTTAGATGATTACGTACGCTTGTACCTAGATAAATTTACTGGTATATGTAACAATTTGTATCATGTATCTGTTTTATGTTGCAATTTATATTATTCGGATAAGACTGTTTGATCCATGTTATAGAAACTACTTTGTACGAGCAGAAGATGATCTGGTTGGAAGGTTTGGCAAACATACAGCTGGGTAAAGTCGTCGAGTTCTTAGAGCCTATAGCTAGCGGCAATAATGCTGAATCGCGACATTTTCGAGTACTTGCGGCTTGGGCTTCTATTTCCACAGCACCGTTGAGACCCGATGTTGTAAGCGATTTTTCGTATAGATTTACATAGATCAATGTTTTACACAGAACACGCTGGACATCACATTTCGTATTGAATTACATATAATAATTTTCTTTTACAGATTTATCCTGTATATTGGCCGATCTTGCTCAATAGAACCGAACATTTGGAAATGAGAGTCGCTGCACTAACTTTGCTTATTGTTTCCAGTCCTACGCCGAACAGATTAATTTCTCTGTATTGGTACATGCAAAATGAGCCCAATGAACACTTGTATAATTATTTTTACACGATGCTAAAATCTATGGAACGCACTACGTATCCCTGTTACAGACGCATGTAAATACGCATATAAATTTATCAGAGCGAAAGAACAGTAGCAATATTAATCGAATATTAATTTTCATATCGTTGCGTATTCATAACGAATCTAACGCACTGTCTTAATTTAATTTATGTTGCTTGAACGCATTGGTACTGTTCTTTCATTTATTACTAAATTTTTTATTAGTTTAACGTTAATTTATTTAACATTTTTACATATATTTTTTAAATTCTTAATTGTTGCCACCGGATATTTACAGAAGCAAAATCGCGGCTCAATTCAGCCGCGTACTTCGGGTACCGAATAATGAATATATGATTACTGGTAATTACTTGATTGATTACCAAGATTCTTTGAGAAGATTTGGCGCTATGTTGCATGGCATTATCATAGCCAACCCTTCTACGAATATTCCTGAAGTAATATACGTAACTTTAAATAATTATGCTAGTAGTACGCACCTTAATCATGTGTCTGTAAGTATATATATAGTTTCCAAAGCAAAAATATTTGCATTACTTTTAAATGTTAATTGATTTAATTTAATATCCTTTTTTAACACAACATTAAGTTATATATCAAAGCGGAGGGTATTTTCCACTCATTAGCAACTTCCTTTGAAAACCCGACAAACATAAAAGATATTCTGAAAGAATTCAAACTGGATGAACGCATGAAAGGCCCTATGCATTTAGAAATAATTACACGTATTCAAGAAAAGACAGTATTGTGCGTTCATTGGAATGAAACAAATATAGTTGAGGGGTTGAAGTGTAAGTTTATATAATTTATAATCGCGACTTTGTAACAATATAACACCATTTGCTTATTTAACTTTCTAGACTTGTCCTCTTTATCGGATAACATATATCAAACGTATTATAACATGGAGTTTCATGTTAATCAACAACGTATAAATGTGCCGTTGGCGATAGAATCGGTGCAAGTAACCGATTTCGGTACCAATGTTAGACTCGCGATGACGGGAACTTCTCTGTTTTCAATGAGAGGTAATTTTACGCGTGATTTTCCTGGACGGAACAACCATATTATTTTGCGGTAAGATTATATTTCACTATTATTCATGTGTATAATTTACCTCGCATAATTATATGTATTTACTTGCGCTCGTTTTCGTAAAATTTATCTAGCCTTTAAACGCTTCACTACGAAAATAACACATCAATGTATGACATATCCAATCCAATTCAATTGTTAACTTTCATAAAAATGAAGATATTGTAAAAAATTGTTTTTCCAATCAAAATGCTAGACATTAAGGACTATACTAAGCAGATGTATGTATCTTTAGTAATAAAAAAAATTGTAAGTAATGGAGAAAAAGCATTGAAAAAGAGCCAAGTAT